TGAAGGGATAGTCATCAATTGATGTAGTTAAACAAGTTGTGGCATATGATTGTGATAAGAATATGTGTATAAGAAATAATGAGGGGAGTGGTTTCAGAAGAAACATAGGAAGGCCTGTACTAACTGATGCAACATGAAGTGAGAACTGGGAGATCACAGTGCATAGATAGTAACAGCAATGTTGTAATGTTGATCAACTGTGGAAAAACTTGGCTACTCTTATCAATACAGTAATCCAAGACAGTGCCAAAGGACTCATGATGAAAAAATGCTAACAGAGAGAACTCATGAACTCCTGAGTACAAATTGAAGTATGATTTCCTCACTTTTTCTTGCTTTTTAAAAAAAATATGACTAATGTGGAATATGTTTTGCATGATTTCACATGTATAATTGATATCACATTGCTTGTCTTCTCAGTGGGTGGGGAAGGAGAATTTGAAACTCAGAATTTAAAAAGAATGCTAAAAATAAATTTAGAAAAATAAAGTCCATCCCAGAATTACATTCACCTCCTCTAGGAAGCCTCCCAAATCTTCCCAGTTTATAACAACCTTCCTCCTCAGGCTTCACCTGTCACTTATTTTGTGACCGATAAACTTTTAATGTAATATGTATTTTAAAGAGAAGTTGGTGTCAAGGCTTTCTACTACATTTTCTTCTATACACAGGGAGTGTGTCGTACCTAACCTTTGTATTTTCCTCAGCACCAAGCCCAGCGTTTTGTACACAACAGGAACTTAATAAATATTTCATTGGTTAATTGATTACCTTAATCAGGCACCCTGTCATTGCTGTTGCATTTTGCCCTGGTGCTGCTCAGAACTCCTTTGGCCAGTGCCTTCTCTGGTCCCTATGTCCCTTACTCTCTTCCAGGCAGTGTGACTTTGCCTTCTCCATGAGGAGAGCTGCATCAGAGGGCTTCCAGCTCCCTGAAGACCTCTTCCTAGCAATGCAGAGATCACAGAGTAGCCTTCCTTGTTCTGAGGCTACACAGGGCTAAGTTTTGGGGAATCTGGGCCTCATCTGAGCCCAGATCTCAGACTACTTGAAACAGTTCTGGCTACCTCCTTAGATATCATTGGGATGGATTCAGCACTGAGAAGGCCAAGGTATGGCTCCTGTTCTCACCCTAGAAGTGCTCTATGCCAAATTTAAGGGTGTTCCTCTCCCACCCCCACCCCCACTCCCAGGATTTATCCATCAGGGCATCATTGGATATCTCACTATAGTCTAATTAGGATAAATAAAGGCTTCTTTTTAGAATGGCAGTTCTCCTTTATCTTCTACAGAGAACATTTGGTAAATGGCTTATGCATATACCACACTTTAGGATTATAAAAGCATTTATATTTATTATCTAATTTGATTCAGTCTTGTGAAGTAGGTATTGTAAATATTATCCCTGGGCAAGATGCTTCACCTCCTCTGATCCTCAGTTTTCTCATCTGTAAAAATAAAGAGGTTGAACTGGAGAATTTCTTATGGTCTTCTTCAACTCTAGTATTCTTATAGAGGAAGAAACAGGTTCAGATGAAGTAATGTACTGAGGGTCACACAACTTCTAAGTAACAGAACCAGACTGTGTTGAGCCATCCGTAACTCCAAATCTAATCCTCATTGACTGTGCTATGGTATGCTGTCTCTAAATGTTTTCCAACCATTTCTTCAATCATTTTAGAATTTCCCAGGAACAAAAATCAAGCTCATTGCCCTTTGGTTTGCAGACTCTGGTATCTCAGAGTTATTTTAATTTACATTTCTCTAATTAGTATTGATTTAAAGCATTTTTTATATGACCATTGATAGCTTTGATTTCTTCTTCTGAAAACTCCCTGCTGAAATGACTCTTTATAGTAACCAGCTATCTCCTTTTGCTAAATCCAATGGCTTTTTCTCTCCTCCCTCCTTTTTGACCTCTCTATAGCATTTACCACTGCTGATCACCTCCTCTCTTCTCTTCCCTGGGTTTTTGTGCCACTGCTCTCTTCTGATACTTCCTACCTATCTGACCAATCCTTCTCATTCACCCATGCAGGATAATCATCCATGCCCTATTCCTTATGTGCAAGGTGTATCTGAGGGCTGTCCTGGGCACTTTCTTCTTCTATCTACATGCGTCCTTGTCAGTCTTGTCAGTTCCTGTGGATTTAACTATCAGTTCTATGAAGATGACTCCCATATCTATATATGCAATCCATATCTCCTGATCTACATTCCAGTGTTTCTGCCAGTCTGCTTGACACTTGACACCTGTACCTGGACATCTGAAACTCACTCTAAGATCATGATCAAGATGCAATTTATCTTCCTCTCAAACCACATCACCTCCTAATTTCCCTGTTTCTGTCAAAGATCTGACTACTATTCCAGTCACCTAGATTCACAGCATTAGAGTTATCTTCACCTCTTTTCACCACCTTCACTTTTCACAGGTCTGACCAGCTCACATCTCTTGTGTTCAGGAAGCTTTAATGGCTCCCCTCACAGCCTCAAGAACAATGTAGAAAGTCCTCGGGCGTTTAAAACTCTTCACTATCTGGCATCAGCCCATCTTTCCAAGCTGATTACACATTACTTCTCTTCACTATGTTCTGGCCCAATTGGTTTACTTTCTGGCCCTCCTATAATAACATTCCCTATCCCTTTTTTGCACATCTGCCCTTTGGCCTGGGCTTGTCCTTATTCCTGGAATGCTGTCTTTTCTTACCTCTGCATCTTGGAACATCTGGCTCCCTTTTAAGTCCAGTGTAAGGGCAATCTCCTTTGAGGCCTTTTCTGATCTCCCTTCTCCCAAATAACTTTGGATTTATTTTATATATATCCTATTTTTACTTATTTGGGCACATTGTTTCCTTCCTACTCCTTTAAATAAAACATTAGATTCTTAAGGGCAGGGACTATCTTACTTTTGGCTTTGTATCCTTAGTGCCTAGCATCCTATTTGGCTCATGGTAGGCACTTAATAAATGCTTTTTGAGTGATTGATTACCATCTCCCTATTTATCTTGGGTATCAGCTCCCTATTAGTTATTTTTGCTCCCTACAATTTAAACACCATTCTCCTTGCAGAAAAAATAGGAGCAAAATAAATTTTGTGTAGCACTGTCATGTTAAAATTTCCCCATCCACTCTGAGTTGTCCTCTTCTTTCTTTCAACCTCATCTTTTCCCTATTATAACAAAAAGAAGAGTTAATTTATCAGAACCTCAGTTTCTTTATTTATAAAATGGAGATAGCAATACCCAGCACAATTTTTAGGGTGGTTATAGGATCAGATGGCTCAAAAATTGTATGTTTCTATGATAAATAAGATCATGTATATCATGCTTTTTCAGTGATACATATATATTAGATATTATTTTGAAAGGAAGGAAACAAATGTTTATTAAGCATCTGCTATGTGTCAGATTCTGTGTTAAGTGCTTTATGAATATTATTTGATTTGGTGCTATTGTTATACCCATTTTGCAGTTGAGGAAATTGAGACAGACAGAGATGAAGTAACTTAGCCCTGGGTCACACAGCTAGAAAGTATCTGAGGCTGGATTTAAACTTAGCACTCCATCCACTGCACTGCTTAGCTGTCTATGGAAAAATCATATGGATTGATTGCATTAATATTCATTGCAAAGGCTTATAAGAGAATTAATTGCACACAGATGGTAAATGACAAAGGCAGAATATTCCTTGGAGCAAATATTAAGATTTTCAAATGTAATTTTTATTAAATACATCTTGGAGATGAATTCTTTCTGAGCAAGTTTACAAAATTTTAATAGAAGTGAGAAAACATCATTCAATATATAGTTTTCTGCTTTGCACTCAACTTTTCAAGGTCTCGTGATATGAATATAAAGAAGTTAAGCTTTGATGATATCCAATGCCAGTAGTCCCTACTGCAAAAAAAACTTTAATCTTCACTATGTAGCATCAGATTTAGGAAGAGGTGAGTGGGTGATAATGATTAATAATAATAGTAATAGCTAAGATTTATAGAGAGCCTTTAGGTTTGCAAAGTACTTTACATATATTATCCTGGGAAATAGGTGCTATTATCATCCTTATTTTACAGAAGAGGAAATTGAGGCTAACACAGGTTGTGTTATCAGACAGGTCTTCCTGACATCACATTCAGCATTCAAATCTATACCACCTAGCTGCCCGGTAGGTGAATAGTGATGATAATTTATATCCAGACACTTTAAAAATTCTTCTGTTGAAATCGTGCTTATCCTTATTGTGATGTGGGACATCCGAAAGAAGCAGAAAACTAGTCCAGATGTGGTCAGAGCACACCTAGGGTAGTATAATCAGGGTTGGGCACCGCATTTTAGCAAGGACATTGATAAGCTGGAGGGCTCTAGAGGAGATGAACCGGCATGGTATGAAAGGCCACTATGAGAAGTGGTTAGAGGAATAAGGGAACTTTAGCCTGTAGAAGAGAATGCTCTGGGGAGGTGGGTGGAGAAATATACTAGCTGTCTTTAAGGATTTGAAAGGCTGTCATATCATTGTGGAGGAATTAGACTTGTTATTTTGGCTTGGTGAAAGGAAAACCTTTTTAATAATTAAAGCCATCCCAAGGTGGTATGCCTTTGGAGGTAGTGGGCTTTTTCTCTCAGAAGTTGTCAGATCCGGATGCCTATTTAGCAGGTATGACATTGTAGGGATTCCTTTTCAGGTATGGGTTGGACTACATGACCTCTGGAGTGCCTTTGAACTCTTAAAATTCTATGATTCTGTTTTCAGGGACTGAACATTAGTTAGCATCATTCTCCACATTACACTCCCACGTGAAGTTGTCAACACTGACAGCATTAGAGTTGAGAAGATCTCAATCTTTCCAGAATTTTTAATACAATATTCTCATTCAGCTAGCCTGTGGAAGATCCCTTTACTCAATCTAAATTTGGGACCTAAAGGGCTGAGTGGTTCTGTGAATAATATTTTAATGTTGTGTAAAATCCACTGTGGATTGCTACTGCTCCTTTTTCCAGGTAGCCCTTCACAAGGTCTTTCTGTCACAGAGCTGATGGAGACGGTTAATGGAGTTTCCAAGATGAGCATTGCACATGAAATTGTGGTGAACCAGGATTTCCATATGGAAGAGATGGCCTTATCTCCAGATAGGTAGATGCTTCTCAAAGTTCATTCATTTCTCTCCCTGGCACAGATAGATCTAGAGAACAGGCTCCTTTTGACCAAATTCAAAGACTCTTTATTTTATAGCATGAACTTAAGTTTTATTCCAACAGTAAAAGATATCCTTAGTGCTTATGTGTAATTATTGGTATTGAAGAGTTGAAGAAATACTAACCAAGATCAAACTAATGTTCTTACTGTGGGAGTTTGCATTTTGGAGTTCCAGTTACTAGTTAATAGTTCATGTAGATTTCAGATCTTCTCAGACAGACCCTGAGGAAGTAGCCCCCAGCAGTTTCACATTTACTTTTTTAATTGACTGTAGATCAAACAGGCACCTATTAAAAGATTATTTTTCCAACAGTGGTGTTGCCAACTCTTCTTACGGTCTGAGATTCCAGTGGAACACTTTGTTTTATAAAGCATCCTTAATAATGATCCTATAAATCAGAATTTTGAGAATAAACAATGGCCATATACCTCCATCTCCCGGAAGATTCTTATTTTAGCTCCTTCTTTAAAGGTTTACAGTGCAAATAAGAGTCAATGAGCACTAATTCCACTGTCAGATTTTTAAAAGTATTTTCCATTTTCCCCATTTGATATCAAAATATTAGTAAATTGGTAGATCTCTTCATTTTGCCTGCCTTTTGGCCCATTTTAGGTCTTTGCAAGAAAGTGAATGACTGAATTGCCCAGATTAGAGTTAATGTAGGTCACATTGGACATGTGTGAGAGGAGTGTGCCAAATTCGATTCCCCTGGAGCACTAAAGTAAGGCTTTATTGAGATTTCCAGGCTGGCACCTGCAGCACTCTTTGTACCCTCACCCTCACCACCTTCTCTGTCCCTGGGGTTCCAAGTCAGTCCTAGGACCGGGCAGCTGCGAGAGCCAAACTGAGGAAGTGAGCAGCTCAAGGAGAGGGAGGGGCTCTGACTCAAAATTCTACAGAAAGCTATGTTTGATGATTTTACTGGGGTGCGGGAGGGTAGAGGTAAGTCAGAACAAAATGGTGACATCAGGTTTTCATTTGTGTTTTGTTAACACCTCAACTAGAGTGTGTTAATAATGTAAAGGTTGAGGGAGAAAACTGTTAAAAATTGACAATTCATCACAGCCTCAAGATTGGATGATTCTGATTACAATTGCAGGTTTCTAAAAACAGAACAAACAAAATCCAAATCCTTACATCAAAAGAGAACCTTTTCGGTTGTCTTCACTTGAAACACATATATCCTTTTGAAGGTGTTCATAAGAACCATGGTTGTACCCTTTCTATCTGAGGGACTTTCCCTTCTAGCTCAGCCATACTAGAGTGGCTGTCTAAGTGTAAAGCTAATTTTTGGACTTTGGGCTTATGTTTATCCCCAGATACAGACATAACTCCACATACAGACCATGTCCTTTTCTTGTTAGTTTTAGTGCCTTAAACAAAGATCAGGACATCCTAGCCCTTTGGCCATTGTGTAGGTCATGATAGAAAGCGAGCTCCCCCTCTTTTTTATCTCCAGTGCCCAGCACAGAGCCTGGCACATTTTGTCGTTGTTGTTCAGTCATGTCCGACTCTTAATGACCCTGTGGACCATACCGTCCATGGGATTTTCTTGGCAAAGATAGTGAAGTGGTTTGCCATTTCCTTCTCCAATGAATTAGGCAAACAGAGGTTAAGTGACTTGCCCAGGGTCACACAACTAGTAAAAGTATCTGAGGCCAGCTTTGATCTCAGGTCCTCCTTACTCCAGCGCTCTATCCATCGAGCCATCTGGCTGCCTCAAACTATGTATGTGGCACATAGTTGGTACTTAATAAGTTCTTGTTGATTGAGTGATGAAAAAAGTTTAAATTATTCATTTATCCTCTTCTAGTCTGGAAAGCAAGATTAAGGAGACAATGCACAGTGCTTTCTGGGACCATCTCCGAGAGCAGTTAGCAGCCACTCCCCCGAACTACACATATGTTCTGCAGCTTCTGAAAGAAATCAAAGAGGTGAGCTGCTCTGTGCACGGGACTGGGTCATCTCCTGCATCGGCTCGAGTGTTTGGGGATGGAGTCCTCAGTCCGGTAGAATCACAATTGATATATAAGCATATTTTTGTTCAAAACTGAACAAATATCTGTTGATGGCCTATAAAGTGCAAGGGATCGTACTAGGTTCCTTGGGTGGAAACAAAGATGAGACCTTGACCTTTATAATTTAGTAGTATGTTTTAAGACAAGTATGCCACTAGGCACAGTGCAACCATAAATTCCATAAGAGACTACCAGAGAACATGCTAGAGATTTCAGATGTGGCAGAAAGAGCAACCAGTTAGGAGAATCAGGAAAAAAATTTTTGAGAAAGAGGTGACATTTGATTACCTATAGAATGATCTCACCAGACTCTGCTGATGGAGAGGCCCTACCTAATTATAGGAGATTTGATGCCTGATGGTGTAACTGAAAGAACATTGGCCTAGATTCAGGAGTCTGGGATTTTCATCATTCTTCTGGCACTAACTGGCTGTGTAGCCTTGGACAATTTACTTCACCTGTCTGTAGAATTAAAATCGGCAGAGATTTGAGGGGAGTATGTTGTATAGGTGATGGAACAGTATCTTCAGAGGCACAGAGGTGGGAAGGCTATGTCTGGGTGAGGGGGAGAATAAATCAGTCTGCCTGGGGCCAGATTGCAGAAGGCCTTGACAGCCATTCTGAGGAATTGGGACTTTATTGTCCAAGCAGTGATTTCTGAGAAGAGGAGTAATGAGGTTAGGGTTTTCAGTTTCTTGACTCCACATCTGAAATAGATGCTTCTGGGCAAACTCTCTTACTTTTTCTATTTCCTGGGAAAGAATACAATATTTGTTAGAACAATGTATGTTATATTTATATAACAAGTTTTGTACATTTTATTTATTATAACAATAAAAAGTGTCTCAGTTCAATAGAATATTTCAAGTGAATACTAGCATCCTCATTCACCTCTCCTAGTGTTAGTCCTCTCAGTTGGCATCTCAAAAAAATCCCCTTTGCTAAGGATACCACATTGTCAAGGTAGGGTGTGTCCTGAATTTGCAGTACCACTCTAATGTAACCTGTGTAGGAGACAGTATGTACAAACAACACTATTGGTGTAGCATGAAGATGAACCTCCCAGCTTTGCTGGCTGTCAAACACCCTAAACCCCACCTTTGGCAGGAGACTTCTCCTGGTCTGCCCAGCTGCTAGTGCCTTCCCCTCTGAGATTCTATTAGATTCTTCCATCTATTCTGGAGGTATCTTGTGTGTACATAGCTCTTTACATATTATTTCCTTCACTAGAGAGTGACAAGGACTGTGTTTTTTACCTTTCTTTGTATCCTTGGGCTTAGCACAGCACCTGGCACATAGCCAGTGTTTCCTAAATGCTTGCTGACTACTGATGGGAACCTCTATTGGTTTCTTAACCTGTGGTCTTTGAACTTGTTTAAATTTTTTTTTAATAACTGCATTTCAACATACTTGGTTTCCTTTGTAATCCTGTGAGTTTTGTTTTATGCATTTAAAAATGGTGTAAAGCCCTCAAGGGCTTCACCAGCCTATCAAAGGGGTTCTTGGCACAAAAAAAGTTAACAAGTCATGCTCTACATAGAATCTGTTACAGAGAGGGGGTAATAGTCTCCTGGAAGTCCAGAACCTAAGGCTCCCGGGAATCCACTCGACACAGGAAGGACTGGTTTTAGCTAAAGATGGATGGTTCTGTGGAGAAGTTTTGTTTTGCTAAGCAGTAATGCAGGCAATGGGTTTTCTCTCCTGGGCAGATTTTGTTATCGCTGCTCTTGCCTCGCCAGAGCCGTCTAAAAAGTCAGATTGAAGAGGTGATGGATATGGAGCTTCTCAAGCAGGAAGCTGACCACGGAGCCCTGGATGTCTCTCATCTCTCCACCTACATCCTGAGCATGATGACAATGCTTTGTGCACCAATTCGAGACGAAGAGGTTGAGAAATTGGAGAGCATATCAGATCCTGTGCTGCTACTGAGGTGAGAAACTCAAAGCATCGGCCTCAGACAGCAGCCTTATCTGTGCCTGGAAAATCTTCTGAGGTCACACTGATTATATGCCCCTAGCTCTGCCAGACCTGATTAAAATGTATTTCTCTTTGCCAGGGTAGAAAGAACCCCAACCAAAGTCCGTGACACAAAATTGCAATGAAATGTTCCCTCCAACATTTGTATCTCAAAAAAATTCATTTAAAGGACTAGTAAGTTTAAAATTCCTTCAAATGCCTCCTGGCTTTTATTTTTCAAGGAAAGTATGGCAGGGTTGATCCTCTGCTGTTTTCTCACTCTTGTTTGATAGATCTTCCATTCAAGTCCTCTGTCTTGTGGGGGTTGGTGTGGAAGAGGTGATCCTTGGTTCTTTTTCTTTCTTTCTTTCTTTTTTTTTTTTAGGCAATTGGGGTTAAGTGACTTGCCCAGGGTCACATAGCTAGTAAGTGTCAAATGTTTGGTCTAAGGCCAGATTTGAACTCAGGTCCTCCTGACTTCAGAGCTGGTGCTTTATCCACTGTGCCACCTAGCTGCCCTGGTGATCCTTGGTTCCTAAAGGCTGTGGCAGCTCAGACAGGTCCTTAAATGTTTTCAAGTATGGGTGTACCGATCGACCCATAGGTCATTATGATTTTTGAGGACCAGCCCAGCTAAATTGAGAGAGACTTAGGTGCAGAATGGCCAAAGTGATCAATTTTTCAGCCACAGCAACTCTCATAGACCATCCATTAAGACACCAGGGGCTGTGATCTAAGTTGAGAGAGTACCTATATGAACAAAAACATTGTTTCCTGAAACAGTCAATTAAGTTCTCTATATATGTGCAATTTGTGAGCATAATAGAATCCACTGTCTTTCTTCCAGAGAACTAGAGGCATTTTTCATTCATTACTTTCTCCTTTATGCAAACACAAATCCTATGAATGGATAGGAATAGCAATCATCCCTATTTTGTGTATGGAAAAACCAAAGCCCCTAGAAGTGACATATTTCAAGTTCATATTTCCAGTAAGCCCAGAAGAGAATCTAATTATGAGCAGTTAGGTGGTACAGTGGATGACTGGCTGGGCCTAGAGTCAGGAAGACTCATCTTCCTGAGTTCAGATCTGGTCTCAGACACTTGACAGCTTGTGTGACCCTGGGTAAGTCGCTTAACCATGTTTGCCTCAGTTTTCTTATCTGTAAAATAAGTTGGAGAAGGAAATGGCAAGCCACTCTAGTGTCTTTGCCAAGAAAAACCAAATAGGACTCAAAAGCTTATGGAAGTGAATGTTGAAAATTAGAAATAAATAAATATAAAAAGAAAAAAACAAAAACCAAATAGGGCCACGAAGAGCTGGACACGACTGAAAAACAACAACAAAGAATCAGATGAGAAATAGGACTTTTTGAGAAGTGTTATGATGTAATGGAAAATGTTCTTCTTCAGACCGGTATTTTCTTTGCTTAATTCATTTGGGTCTATTTTGTTACAGGCTAAGAGTTTGGGGTAGATTTATTGTTTTTGTAGTTATTAAGTTTATAATACATTTGAACAAATACAGATTCTAATGCCAATTCTGCTATTTACTAGCTGCGTGGCCTTGGATGAGACCGTTTACCTCACGTCTTTGGGCCTTGTAAATTGATGAATTAGGACTGGATGAGCTCTAAGGTTGCTCCTGGTTGTAAAATTCCACAACACCCAGCCCAGGGCTCCTTCTTTTAATGTCTTCCATGCTTCCTCTCACAGTGTTTAATTTTCCATTTCCTCCTCCGGCAGGGAGATATTCCATGTTCTAGGCCTGATGAAAATGGACATGGTGAACTTCACCATCCAGAGTATACGACCACATCTGCAGGAGCACTCGATCCAATATGAGCGGGCCAAATTCCAGGAGCTTCTCCAGAGAATGCCCAGTATGTACCGGCATGGAGGGCAGGACAGGGGCAGCGGAGTGGTCTATGCTTGTAAGGGATTGTGGCTACCATTTTACAAACACTAGGAACAAAGCTGCTGGCTCACTCGCTGGGCAGCAGGGTAAATTGAGGTCAATTACCTTAGCACTTAAAGCAAAAAGTTTGACAAATCATTTCTTTATTGATGATGTGTCTGAAGTGTGCAGAATGTGAGGGTCCTATAAATCTTGTTTCCTTGTAGACTTCCTTGATCACACCGCAAAGTGGCTAAGCCAAGCAGCTGCTGAAGTCATGACACCCCCTCCACCATCCTATGACCCTACAGAACAAATCACTTCTTCACCTGCAGATGAGACAGTGAAAGGCAGTCCTATCATAAGCCCCTCACTGGTGCTGAACCAGGGTTATATGAATCTCCTTCACTGGGACCCTGACAATGAGGAGTTTCCCGAGGTATGGCTGCTGGTGGGAACGTTTCATTACTCTTTGGTGTCAGGGGCTTCAGGCGGGGTCCTTTCCATGCTGACTACCTGCTGGTTTTCATCTCATCAGACTGTGATGATGGACAGGACCCGGCTGCAGGAGATTCAGTTCCAGTTAAATAAGCTGACCATTTTGGCCTCCGTGCTGCTAGTAACCAACAGTTACTGTGGCCCTAAGTTACTGAGTTCTCCTCATTTTGTGGACAGACTGAAGCAAATAATCAAAGTCCTCTTGGAGGGAAATCAGTCAAGGTGAGTAATATCAATCTCGATCTTTTCCAGAGATAGGATGTATTTGGAAAACAGCAAGTCAGTGAATGGTTGTTTACTTTTCATCACATAAATGTTCTTAGGGCTTATTTGAAATTATCGTTAGTGCTTTTTTTTGACATCTTTGGAGCATGAGGAAACAGTACGATTTTCATTCAAAGTGGGCATCGAGGCATAAAGGATACATCTTCTGTCTGTGGATAGTACTGGGCTAGTCGTGGCAGAGCTGGGTTTCTCAGGGATTGATGGTCCATCAGGTAACAGTACTGCCTCTGCTGCCATCTCTGCAGAGCAGAGGTCCTAGGAAATCACCCAAGAACATTTGAAAAGGAAACCTTATAAACAAGATTTGTGGAACTAGTCATGAGAGTTGATGAGCATTCCTAGAGCAGATACTGACAGGTGTAAATTTGTCAGTTTTTCTTGTTTTAGGAGGAATAGGACCAAGTATCATGTGCTGTGATTATCCTGGCAGTCCGGAGAGCTGGGTTCTTTTCCTGGATCCGTCACTGACCAGCTGCTTTGCCTTGGACACTTAACCCACCTCAAATTCCTCTTTTGTACGGGGGGGGGGGGGTGGCATTGGACTAAGGTCTCTGCCGACTCTTCTAAAATTGTCTGCATCTTGGAGGCAGTTAACTTGATTGTGACCTTGAAACCATTGCATTACATTTATCTATCACAACCTGCTGTCCTTTGGATGGGAGGGATGAGGATGTTTCTTTTTTTTTAATCAGAGTCCTTCTTCTACATGTGCCTTACACAGGGCACAGACTCAGAAACTGTTGGCTTTCTGTTTCCTGTGATTCAGGCTCCATGAGGCTTTGCTGAGTATAAGTGACCAAGTGCTTCAGGAAATACAGCAGGCCCTTGTGGACCTGAACCTTCCTGCCCTGAGCAAAGACGACATGGCTTCCCTGTCAGGCCAGATCCACAGTGTGGCGAAGGAGGACAACTGCGTCCACAGCATCATTGGTGAGAGACACTTGTAGATAAAGGCAGATATCCTATCTTCAGCAGGTAGATGGAGAACCATTTAAAATCTGCAAGGCACAGTGTTCTTAGAAGTGCTGCACTGACCCTTTGGTCATCAGACCAGCAAAGCTGAGGCTGCCCAGAAAGAGTATGTGAACGCCAGGGCTTTCTCGTTAGCGTGACGCTCACTCCACGTGAGACACGTTGGCCCATCCAGTGGATTGCTTCTGTTCTTCCCAGCCCTTCCCCACATTTAGCACCAGGAGACTGAGACTGCTAGCCGTGATTGGAAATTATTTGTTTATTGGCTGCAGTCACCATGTTGGTGTCCTTTATGGAAGGTGTGAATCTGGTTGTCATAACCTCTCAGGTTTTTGTTTTGTTGTATTTATTGTACTTCAGGGAACAGACCATTAAAGTGATTGGGCTCAGGCCATTCGTTTCAGCTGACATGCCCAACCTTCCTGCCCCTCATCATCCACTGTTTCTCTGGTACAAATGTAGTGCAGCTTCACTGAAGGTTTGTTCTCTGAGTAGACACCTCTCCTAGTCTAGAATGGAAGCAGTGAATTCCCTCAGATTTTATCCAACCTTAATTGCCACCTTAATGTGCTGTGGTCGCAGGCCTGGGTATAATGATGACATGATTTAGTAGAAGGAGTACTAGATATGGGGCCAGTCAGAGGCCAGGGATTCAATGTCAGTACTGCTGGAGTTTTTCTGCTTCTCTGTGCCTTCCTCTCTCTCTCCTGGTCATCTCATTTTCTCTGTTTAGATGACTCAAATTTATGTCCTAGTCTTATTTCTGAGAGCCAGTTCCACATTGTAAACTCTTTATTGGACATTTTGACCTGGATATCTCTTAGGCATCCCAAACTCAATATATGCAAAATAGAAGTCATCTTTCTTCCCAAACTCCCTATTTCTCTCAAAGGCACCACTAGCAGAGGGAGTTTAGATAATCTTTAATCCAGGGGGTTCTTAAGGTCCCTCCAAGCTCTAAATATATGTTGCTAGGATGCTAGAAAAACTTCCAATACTGAATTCAGAATTTAGTATTATGTTATCTAATCTCAACTGGGCCTTCCTGCAGGAAGGCAAACGTCTCCCCCTCTAATCTGAATCTCCCCTCTTAAGACCTTCTTGACCCTGCCCCCTATCCCACACTCACCCTGTCAACTGGGGCTTTGCTCTATCTTTGGGGTCTATGTATTAAAACAAAACTAAAATTCAAACACCTCAAATTGCATGTCATAACTGCCTAAGCAGATGAGTGGGCAAGTGTCCTGTGAACAGGAGGGTCAAGGTCAAATGTGACTTCCCTCCTTGAACTCTCTTTCAATATTCGCAGATCAGCGGATCCGTTTGTTTCTCAAGGGCTGCCTGATCCGAGGTGTGCAGCCTTCTCTGAGAGACCTCCCTGGAGGCATTACTCCTATTGAAGAGGAGCTGGCAGAAATGGGCCAAAGGTTTTCATGCCTGATACTTCACAATCAACAAGTGTTTGGGCCCTACTACGCCGACATCTTAAAAAAAGTGCTCTTCTCTCCACAAGAGTCGGAAGTGAGTATGGATTCTACCTGACATCTCGAGTGGAATGCCCTGCTGTGGGGCATGGAAGAGAAGAGCCCTTGTCCATTGCCTGTGGTTGGCATGACAGTCATACCTCCTCTTCCTCCACCCCTGCAGCCAGGACACCCAAGCTGCCTGTGAACACCAAGTTGCCTGAGCCCTTTTACCAATAAATTTTTGAGCTGCAAGAATCATTTGCTACTGTGCTGGAGCTTTAGGCTTGGCCGCTGGGCTCCATCCCACCTATTGGTTAGTTGAGAAGCTAAAGGGCTTGGACAGTTTTCTACAGCACTTGGGAAATAGACAGGTGTTGTTGCTCTGTTAACCTACCCTTGTACGTAACCCACAAGGAGGGCTAGGTAGCCAAGACGCTTAGATTCTGTTCCTGGCTGTCATCCTGGATGACGGGGTGGTCTATCCCAAGGGGAAAAGCATTGCACTAGAGTCCACGAAGGCTATGACTTCACAGTCTCTGAGTCCTGGGTAGAAAGGGCCTCGGGACATCAGAAACCCACTTAGTGGTTTTTTTCTGAAGAATTGAGGAAATCTTTTCCCCAAGGCTAACTACCCCGTAAGGGCCTTAGGTGGATGCTACACAGTGGAGGGGAAACCAGGGACTGGATAACAAGGGCTTTTCCATCTTCCTGCGCCATTGGGTGGTTTGGAAAAAACAGGACAGAAGGGAGGGGTATTAAAAGGCTGTCAGCTGAGGAAATGGGCTCAAATGTGTGAGGGACTTGTCCCCTTCTCAGGTGAGTCAGCAATGGGGCAGTTCCTTTCTTTCTTATCTTCAGCTTAGAATTAAATCTCTGGCATCTGGGACCATCACTGATATGTGGAGAGTTAGCATCATACTAGATACGTGTCCTAGGACACAACTGAGGATAAAATTGGTGCTGAGGGGCCCTCAGGCTAGCATCCTGAGTGTGTATCATCACGGTACCACCTCTAACCATGATGTCTACAATCATCATTAAGGAGCTCACATGGGGCTTGGTCTCTCAGGAGGTGGGGAGGTAAGGGAGTAGGGGTAGAGAGGGGAAGCAAGAGTTTTTATTTCAGGAAAGAGATTTTTGTGAGGTGAGGAATGTGGTTGGTGGGGAGTGAACTGAAATGAAAATTCTGCCATTTATAATTAAAACCTGGAATGAATAATTTCTTGAGTTTTTGAGTTGGTCCTCTTGTGTGTCCACATGGAGAATCAGAATCTCCCTAACTCAACAACAAAAGTAAAGGAGGAGATCCAGTTACTCTTGTCCGCTGGGTCTGAGAAACTATGATTAATTAGCACTTGTGAGAGGCAGCAGAAGATGGGAGTTCAAATCTTGCTTTTTATACATCCTGGCAACTGTTATTCATGTAAACTCCTTAAATCTCTCAGCGCTCTAGGAAACTCTTAAGACTGTAAGGTACAGATTTGCATAGGCAGAGGAAGTTTCCTCAAATGAGAGTTTTCTATACCAGTGAAGTCACAAGTCCAATCTCTATTCCTAATTAGTATTAATTTATTATGGCACCTGATGGCTAAGTATTAACACTTTTAAGAGTATAATATTTAAAGTGCATTGCAAATGAGATGGGCTGCTTGAGGGGACCCTCATCTAGTTGAGGCCCCTTTGCTTTATAAGTGAAGACACTGAAGTACAGAGACATTTAGTGACTTATCCAAGGTCACACAGGTAGTAACTTGCAGAGCCTGGATATAAATCCAGGGCCCCTTGATGTCAAATCCTGCACCCTTTCCACTGCACCATATTCCTTGATGACGGATTGATTCTCTCCAGGATGCTTTCCTCATTGAGATCTGTGCAAAGCACGGATTGACTTGTACTAAATAGTGCCTATTCCTGAATTCAGAGAAAATGGATATTTTGGAGGTTTAACTGAGTTAGATGATGACCGAGGCTAATTTGCAGGTATGGGTAAGCTGGGCTACTCAGAGATGGAATCCGGCCTCAGACAAGCCTTGTGACCCTGGGCAAGTCACTTAAACTGTTTGCCTCAATTTCCTCATCTGTAAAATGGAGATAACAAATAACACCTACCTCCCAGGGTTGTTGTGAGGGTCAAATGAGATAATTGCAAAGCACTTAGCATAGTGCCTGGTGCCATATAAATGTTAGCTGCTATTATTATTTGTTATCATTTAGCAGAGCTATTTCTTCAGAATGGCATAAGTCTTGAACTCATTGGGAGCAGAGAATCTGTACTTTGGATTTCTTGTTATGACAGGAAAGATCATACAGACTGTTAGAGCAGGAAGGGACCTTTAGTCAGAGGAAGAAGTGAGGTCATATAATTATGGCAGATCCTGGACTGGTACCAGGGGTGGGGGGGTGGCTTTACTCCTAATTCAGTACTCTTAACACTGTAACAGAAACGGATACTGCAGGCCATTGATTTAGAAAACCACAAATTAACGTTATCTGTTGAATTGTATATTTATTCATTATTTGGTTAAAACATTCCTGGTGACGTTGTAATCCGAGTTTGACACCTCTGCTTTAAAACACCTCACTATAGAACTTCAGTACAGTCCAAATAAGCCTGTAGCCAGGGCTGTTGGGTTAAATTCTGAACCTCTGTAAACAAAACTTTCAGAAAGGTCCCCCTTTGTTAATCACAAAATAAACATAGCCAACCCCTGCAAGTGCAGGGATTAACTGAATTCACATTTATGAAGCTAATGGAGAGAAAAGGCTTGCTGTCCACAGTCTTTTAAGACGATTTCATGCAGATGGGGAGCCTCAGCATTTTATGGCGCTTTAGAGGTTTCTAACTTTATGAATCTCCTTTGCTGAATTAATAGCCTGATCACTCTTCTGAGGCCCCTTCAGACTATCCCTCAGGAGAGTATGTGGATAGAAGCTAATGTGTTAGTTGCCTTTTTCAGTCTTTTTACCTCTTTAAGATTTCTTCTAGACCTCAGCAGAGGCTCATCCTCATCACCTCTGACAAGGAAGTATCATTTCAGCCCTGTCTTTGATCCCCTATTGTTATCAACAGGGGGTGATCTGCAGAATTAAGTTGGGGCTCCGAGGCACTCCTGCTCTTAAGCTTTTCCCATAAATCACAGGTGAATGCACACTGCCCAAGGAGTTTCCGTCTTTAATTGTACAAAACTAATGAATGGAAAATTACTGGGGAGCTGGGGGGTGAGAAGTAGCATGGAGAAGACCGAAATGAGTAGAAGAGAGAGGAGACTGGAGGGGAAGGTACTACATAGTAAGATAAGGAAGCCGAGAGATGTTCTTTCAGAGTCCAGGTACCCACAATTCAAAGAAAGGCAGAAAAAAAGGAGCTGGTACAAGAGGTTTTACTTCTTATTACATTGTTGTTGTTTAGTCATTTTTCAATCATGTCCAACTCTGTGACCCCATTTGTTTTTTGGTTTTTTTTTGACAAAGATACTGGAGTGGTTTGCCACTTCTATCTCCAGCTCATTTTCCAGATGAGGAAACTGAGGCAAACAGGATTAAGTGACTTGCCCAGTGTCACACAACTAGTGTCTGAGGTCAAATTTGAACTTGAGTCTTTGAGCTCAGGCTCAGTGCTCTATCCACTGTTCCACCAAACTGCCTTCTTAGCCATGTTTGGAAAAAAGGAAAAAGTGGTGGCCTAGAGTCCAGTGCTTTTTAAACTGTAGGTTGTGACACCATATGGGGAAAAATTTGGTAACAGTAAAAGGTTTCTGAACGCACACTCAAAAATTAATTGAAAATCAAATGCGTAATGAATCGAGGTGGTTTTGGCAGTGCTTGCCTTTGTTGCATTGTACAACTTCACTGCAACCTTGGTTCTGAACACACAATGTGCGTACTGTGTGTGCCGCCACGCCCATGCAGCCATGAAATGCCACCGAAACTGGAGAAGGGGACTCGAGTGGAAAAAGTTTAAGAAACCCTGGCCTAAACCACAGTGGAAGAACTAGAATTAAGATGAGTGAGGCTGCTGTTCTAGGTCACTGACCCATGTGAGGGAAATTAGGAGCTGTCCTCCTGTCTCAGCTTCCCCCACCCCTAAAAACTCTTTTCTCCTGCTTCTTACTCATCCTACTTCCCTCTCTTTTCTGGGCTAGGAGGTTGGACTAGGTGAATCCCAGTCCCACTACTGTTTATTATGTGTGTGTTCCTGGATGAATCACTTAACCACACTGGACCTCAATTTCTGCATCGGTCTAAGGCTTCTAAGGTCCCTTTCCAACTTGAAATCTATGATCCTATGATTGCTAAAGTCCTTTCCAAATGTAAGATTCCAGACTTAGGGGTTTGGAGCTACAGAGGCTGAAAATTAGAAGCGGCCTTGGAAGCTGGCTAGCCTGATCTTCTACCTCATGGTAGAATTGCCTTTACATCATCACACTGCTTAAACACTTAAGTGATAGGGCAGGCAGCTAACTATTTCAAATAATAGCATATCCCACCACTGGACAGCTCTAATTATTAGAAAGTTCTTATACTGAGCTGAATCCTATCTCCATATAAATGCTGTGCATTCTTCCCTCTGGTGTGAACCCAGAATAAATCTCTTTCAAATGAGAGTCCTTCCTTCAGATATTTGAAAGAAACAATTATGTCCTCACAGAACACCAGCAGCTGGGATATACTTCCAAGTGCAGAAGTTCTCCCCATGCCCCAGACCCATATCCAATCCATTCTCCATCGACTACTTCAAGTCCTATCTTTTCTTTGTCATCTATCAAAGATGGCAAGAGACCACAGAGAACCTCCCTCTTTTTAATACCAATAGCACTTAGCATTTCTTCCTTCTTTCTTTTGGTGCTTACCATGTACTGCCTCGTATGGTTCCTTTTTCATGTATGTAAGTCTTATCTCGCCAGCTATAAAGTCCTAACATATGGACTGCCTTTTTTTTTTGCAAGTGTTATGTGTCTGAGGCCTCCTGACTCCAGGGCCAGTGCTCTATCCACTGCGCCACCTAACTGCCCCTGGACTGCCTTTTGATCCATCTGATATCCTACAATGCCTAGCACAGCTTCTTGTATGGAGTAGACATTCAGGTATACCTCTGCTGACATATCCAGGTATAAAGCAATAGAGGTAGAAGGAAAAAATGAGAGCACCTATTCTGATGATTCAATACACGTGTTCAATATAGGAAGTTCTAAAGGAACAATGTGCAAACATCTGTATTACAAGAAACATCTGTTTACAAGCATCAAGATAGCACTTTGGCCTTAAAGTGTGGTAGATACAGGCAGCACAATTTTCAAACATTGCCATTGGTTTGAGAAAAACACGGCAAACTTTTCGGAAATGACAAGGCCCCATTCTAGGTCCAACCAAGCCTTTTTCAATTCAATGAAAGACCTTAGATAATTTACCAATGTAGAAATGAAGCTGGAGTCGGGGTTCTAAGTCATTTCTCATTTATTCAATCTGTTCTAAGTTGTACAGTTATGAAAATAACAAAACCAATGCTGGAAGCCCAGGAATATTTACAATCTCTCTGTGTAGTGAGGTCAGTCTATTTTGTTGCACAGATTGGTTATGTTTGGTACCACAAGGTGTTTATAATTCTGACAAAATTGGACAGATTAACAATTATATATACAGGAAAATAAAAAGGGAAATCATTCAAGTATCAAAATACAGAGACAAAGATTAAATAACATTTTTATTACAAATCAGTCCCATTGCCACACACCACAATTAGCAAAATCACCCTTTTGCAAACTGAATTTGACAGTCATTCTGCAAGTCTGGGCAGTATTAGATGAGCCTTCAAGCCAGACTAAACTCAGATTAACTTTCACAAACCACAAATGTGCTTGCTTTACTGTTCCAACCTGTCTCTGAGAAACTACCCCTGATCTTTAGTACTAGAGGGCCCACTAGGGACCTGGAGAATTGCGAATGTAGAGCCTTGTTAGGAAGAAGAATCCTATTGCCTAAGAACAGTTAGCAAGCACATGGGGAAATTCAAGCAGAGAGCTGGGAACTGATGACAGCTTAATGTAACTGAACCCATTCCAAGAAAGCTGCAGTTTCACACCTAAATGGGCTCCTTCACAGTTCAGAAACACAGTGGATGTGTTCAACCATGCTACATGGCCTGCACTGAGAACAGTATGATAGCAGTGGCTTTCCCACTCAAAGCCTGTTCTTAAAGTTGTAACATCCCTTTCTAGGGAAGGGAGAGTACCTGATCCCCATTTAAAAAAAAAAATCCAGTCACTTTTCTTTCTCTAATATCCAAAAATATACCAATCTAAAAACATAACTCAGAACTAGAGCTGACCAGCCAACTTCCCAATCTGAAAACACCCTGAATAAATAAAGAGGACATAGCAGCTTTAAGAAAAACAAAAATACCTAAATGTGATTTTTAAAAATCTGAGAAATTCATCTTAGTGTCTACAAAGAATTTTCTTTTTGGACCTACCATCTTACCCACAGATACCTACTTGGAAAGGAAACAACCTTTCTTGAAAAAAAGGAAGAAAGTGGAGCTCTGGAAGATGGAGAAATCCTGCTACTGGGCCCCACACATAAAGACCCAGTACCATGGCAGGAACAGCACAATTTTACTAAAGAAAACTTAATTTTTCTTGGGAAGCTTTTTTGGAAAACAGAGGCTGAATACTGCACAAGGGATAGGAGTCCTTTGCAGGCCCAGAAGAACCATGGTCCTTATTAGGACAGAGAAGCTAGAGCTAACCCCCTCTTCCCAGAGGAGCTCTGTTGGGGTCAGAATGACCATGATTAACTGCTCCCAGGGTTGGATGAAGAACCGCAGTAGTCTATGATGGATAAACAGAGAGGAAGCCCACAAAGCCAAGCCTCAAATCAGCCCAAGGTACAAAACCACTGCCTGCAACTTCTGGCCAACCATAGAGTTTGTGCATTTCTAAAAGGACCCTCCCTGCATACATATAAATATATAATTCCAACTGACACCTTTCACTGGGAAAGAGCAGTGTTGCCAAAGCCTAGAATATTTGCACTTGGACAGGAATAAACCACACCATTAAGAATACTAGGTTTGCTAAAGCCCACATGGGAAGGCATGGTCCTCTTTGCTCCCTATCCCAGAGGCACAGGCCACAAGGGCTCGGCCCTTCCATCTCAAATGGAAGAAGTCCCTGTTTTAAATCCAGAAACAAAACTGAAGTTAAAGGGAGAAGCAAACTAGGAGTTGTAAGAAACAGCAGTGCTCTAGTAAGCCAACCTGGTGCAGATAGGGGGCACTGTCTGAATGGTTAAAATCAAGTCAGCTACCAGCCAGGCATGAGCAAGGGAACAAAACAGGCATAGTCACAACTCAGAGAGTTAACAATGAGACCTAATTGCAAAGACCTGTTTAGACAAATCTCAAGTCACTGGGTATCAGCCTCAGTTGGTCTCTCTGTTACTTAATGCCCCAAATGAAGTTTCTTTTTCTGTTTTCCTATGGAACTTAGAAAATATGGAGCTACTAGAGAGTTGGTGGGGAAAAAAAAAAGACCAAACCCTTGGTCACTAATGGGGTGGGGGTGGGGGGAGCACTGAGGGGACCAAAGCTCTAGGAATCCACCATAGGCAGCAACGTATGGAAACAACCATCATTTCACATCTAAAATCCTGGCAATGGCTCCAGAGCTCCTGCTTTTCAGGTGTCTCCAGGGTTGTGTTATTTATTTATTTTTTTAATATTAGAGATGTTGTCTTCAAACGGTCTTGTTCTAAGGGGAGTTTGTGCACTTTGACAAAACACGGGAACTCAGCTGGGTCTGAACATCAGAATCCAAGCTATTTTACGGTTAGCCTGTTGATTCTGTTTCTCTTATACTCACCCGTCTCCCATAAGCAATTGCTTTCCTTTCAAACCTGCTATGCTAGTCCAAGGTCTCGTTCTGAGGAAAGAAGGCCTAGATGGATCGATTGTCCTTTTGGCCATTTCTAGTTTCTCAAAAGTCTTCATCCCCATGACTTTCTGGCTGAAGACTGGCAATCTTCCCTATGGGTCCAAGCCATTAGCAGTCATTTTTTTCTATTTTAAAAAAAAAAGTTTTTCTGGACAAGCTAAAAAACCCAGAGTCACTTCTTGGCCCCCTGGAATCCCAATCTCATCTGCCAGAGAGAGACCCTGAGTTGCTGCTCTCCAGTCAGGGGCAGGGAGGGATTGGGGGGAGGATCTATTTTCGAGGCCTGGTTGTGGAAAGCCTGTGCTGAACAGCAGGAAGGCGATCCCAAAAGCAGAGGCTGAGCCTGGATCTTCATGATGGCAGGTTAGGCAGTGGCGGCAGCAGTCTGTGCCCCCAGGACTATTTTTCCGCAGCAGTGTGGTTTCCCAGTGGCTCAGCTTGGCAGAAGCAAACAGAATGGGGAGGGGAAAGGGTTAACCAAAGGCAAATTGCACAGAGAGGAGGACTGAAGTCTAAGGGGAAGGTGCCTCTCAGAATCCCCAGGGCTCCCTGGGCTGCTTGATAGAGGGAAAGCCCAGCAGCTCAGGTACAGGGAATCTGCTCTTAAAAGGCACAAGGACCAGGCAGGCAGGGAGGCCTACCCTGGTGATATTAACTTATATTGAAACTCCCCAAAATTGCTGTATCCTACTGGACCATATTACATCTGAACCATTTCCTAATGAAATGGCTTCCTTCCTATATGCTGCCAACTAAGCTAGCTCTCCCACACCAGAGGGATTCTGCTTGTCTGCACACTCATCTCCTTTCTCATCTCAGTTCTTAAAGGTTTTGAAGGTTCTTGAACTCATAGGAAATGACGGTGTCCAGCCTTCTATCATCTACCACACTAGAGGCCTTGGAAGAAGGGAGGTCAAAGCTCAGGCCGATGCTTAATCTTTGAATTCTCACATCATGGAGAAGGAAGCGGACTTAATGCCTCGGGAAATGATGGCAGTTACCATAGAAAGCTCAGGGTACCAGCCCCTAGCTTATGGCAGCCCCTCTCTGAGACAGTATGACTATGCACCATATGGGAAGAGTACAGGCCTCACTCCTCACTCCTGCAAGAAGGGAGCCTTGCATTCAGTGACCCGGACTTTGGAACACAAGGCTTGCGCTGCCTAACCTTCTGGAACTCTAATAAATATGGGACTGACAGGGATGATGGACCACACAGATAGAGCCTCCATTCTATTTGTTATAGACTATATGAGGCAAGGAACCTGCTTGCTGGAGTAAGCCACAAGACCCTATAGATGATACCATCAAATCCCTAACGCTCTGGTCACCCCTGAGGTCAACCCTTCAAAAGCTCCTCCTGAGTCAGCTACAGATGTGAAGAATTGGCATGCAGCCTGGACACACAGAGAATGCAATTCTGACCAGTCCAAACCACCAAACAGTATTAATGCCTTTCCATCTCCTGCCTCTGGCCATCTGCAGTAGCTCAGTCCTCCCAATACCAAACCATGGAAGCCATGGGTAGGCTGTCAGCTGACAAAGAGTCCAGCACCGTGCATCAGAGAGGTGATAGGGTAGAGCTGGCAGGCAGGATTTGAATTTAGAATGGGGAGTAGGTTTCCTGGCACACCGGGTAGTCACAGTGGTTAGTGCTGAGAAAGGTGAGTTAGTTAGTTCTTGGCAATAGTCCCCAGCCATGGCTCAGATGGAAGGATGGGCCAGAGCAGATCACATGTCCTGCGCCTGAGCCCAGGGTGACGTTTTACCATCACTGTTTTGAGTTGGCTTTAAGGCCAATCCCCCAGGGATTTGTAGTGCCCATCCATTCAAAGGCCCCCTCAGCCCTCTTGGTGCCCACCTTGAAGGCACCTCCCCCTCTCCACTGCACTGTCCCCAGCCAAAGGGAGGAGAATTCACAGTGTTTGGTGGTATAAGGTACAAAAGTTGTTAGTGTACAGTGTCTTAGTGCTGCTGCCAGGGAGGAGAGCAGGCCCCTGGGAGGGTAGGGGGCTCACCATCAGCAGCTGGAAGGAGAGAGTTGAAAACAGCAGACAGATCAGATGGTAAAGGCACAGTGAGACTAGTGGAGACAGGGGCTGGGTTGGTTTTAGAAGATAGTGGTCTCATACTTAGTGCTGAGGCTCCTTTTGGAATCCGGTTTTGGGTCCACTACCCAGGAGACACTGGCATGAGACTGGGTATCTTGGTCCATGTCAGACGGTTCCAACTGGAGAACGAGAGAGGGGAAGGCACAGCATCAGAGCAATTGCATGCCATGGCCAGGCCTGAAGGGAGACCAGGATAAGCCTCAGATCACCTCCCATGGGCCATGCTGGTAACCTTATCACCTGAATGATGAGGCCTGAGTCAGAAGGGAGATCCAAGAGGGAAATGCTCCCTACTTTTGGGGGCTTGATGGGGAGGCAGTGCAGAAAGACCTGCTAGAGCAGCTCATTGCTAGCAGGGGACTTGGTGTGGACCCTCAGCCAAAAGTGCACCCCTGCCCATCTAGACTGGAGCTACCCGACCTGGAAGCCAGGGGACGTTCCCTGAGAACAGTGGCAACGAAGGAGCAGTGAACACTCAGCAAAGCAAAAGACAAAGGCTGCAGCACAGACAGGTGATGACAGGCTCCAGGAGGAGGGGAAAAGAGACACAAGGTGGCAAGAAATGTAAAGACCTTGACTCCGGGACTAACAGCCGGCAGCGGTAGGTAAGAAGGACGGTGGGTAGTGCAGGTGTGACAGTAACAACAGCGGTTATCAGGTGGCAGCGGCCCCTGGGGAGGTGGAGGCAAAGCAGATACAGACAGGAGGCAACATTAACGATGGGGGGGAGCGGGGAGAAGTTCCTCTGCTGATCCTGCCCCACACTGCTGGTAAGAGACTGCCCGAGCCACTGTTGGACAAGGGGACAGTGGCCCTCTCAGGGCGAGGACATCTGTCCCCTTAAGATAGCAGTTTCTACTGAGGACCAGGCGAATGGGGTAGTGCATGGAAAGGAACCCCCTCCCAGGGTCAGACAAGAGCCAGGGAACCCAGGAACCAGGCCATACATACTGCAGATTTCCTCATGCCAACTCGAGGCTTAGGCACCGGTTTGGAAGCTTTTGTTTCTATCATCTCAGCTGCTGATGCCGCACCTGGCTTGGCTTTCTGGGCCTGCAGGGCCAGCTGATAGGCCACCTCGAAGGCCTGTCCCAGTGTCAGGATGATCTCATAGGTCAGGTTCTGGGAGGGAACCAAGCAATACAAACACATGAACACTTTGGAATGGAAAAGTTCTCCATGGAGGGAGCATCTAGGAGTAGCATCTAGATGCTAAGGAACAGGATAGCGAAGGTTTAGGAAACCTGGATGTCCTTAGTGGCTTCACAATTCCAGAAATCTCTGGGTCTCCTTGGAGTCACAAGGCTTTTGAGAAAGTGTAATAGCCACAGTACCTCAGCACAGACAGAATAAAGAGCCCAGGATTCAGGACAGAGGCAACTCTTCAGAGCTCCTGGCATGAGCAGGTCCCTAATATTGGGTACCAGGACCTTGGGGGAAGCCATGTGGTCCAGTTCTCCTTGGTTTAACTCATTCTTCCCATTTTTCTCCCTTCCCTGGGCATAGTCAATTTTGCAAGGCATTACATTTCATTCCTAATTAAATGTCACTAGAACCAAGGAAAGCACCAGAGTTCAGAAGAGTATTCTGGAGCAGAGAATTGGATCTGTTGGCAGACAACAGGCAATCTGCAGTTGCAGACAAAGGTCTGGCTTAAGCTTTGGTCACATCAAGCTAGACATGGTGCCCCAAAGACACCCTGGTGTAAAGGAAAGAGAACTTGGAGACCTGGTTCTTCTCCAGCTGTGCACCATTACTTTGCTGGACGACTAGACAAATGATGGCACTTTTCTGTGCATAAAACAAAGGGGTCAGAGAGATGAGCTCCAAGTTCTCCTATAGCTCTAAACTTTTAAGATTCTATGATTCTAAGGCAAGGAGAGGATTTATCAGCTTCCCACCTGATGATCCCACTAAGGAACTCTGGCTCTTCACACCCTCCCACTCACCACATCCACAGTGCTGAACACATGGCAGTAATGGTGGCTAGTCTGCAGGTCCTTGGTGATGTAGGCAAAGGTGCAGAGGTCCTCGGGGTCCTGGGCTGCACAGGAGATGTTCCGAATCTCGTGTTCTGCAATGATGTTCTGTCAAGAAGGAAGTGACAAGCCTGGCTGAGCTGCCTGCTGCCTTTCCTCAGGAACATTCATCTCTCCCTGGGGCTCAGGGGAATTTGGTTTTCTCTCGTCACTGCCCCCTTTCTTTGTCTACCCCTCATCAAAACCTCTCTTCCTAGACCACATCTGCCCTTTCCATGGATTTACTGGCACCCTCAACAAGGATGGAATGGGTACCAAAGTTTAAAAGGGCATTTCTGTCTCAGTCATGGGTCCTGAGGAGATGAGATCTTAACTTACTCACACAGACAGACACCTTTAGGGAGGGAAAGTTTAGGCTGAGTTGTGATGGATCAAGAAAGTGACAGAAGGGTTCCTATGCCTTTAAATGAGGATCCCACATGGGGAGACGGAATTGTTTGCTTGTTAAAGGAAGCACTGTCTTTGATGGGAGAAAAGACCCTTGACGCTGCCATCCTGGGCTGAGGCAGGGAAGCTCCAAAGGGCGTATGAGGCTGATCCCACTTGGGCCTAATGGGCCTCCCCGATACCCTGGCCTGAGTGGACTGGCCTGGGAAGCTGTCCCATCTCTTCCTTCCTCACTGCAATGAGCTTCACAACCTTCTTCAGGCCAGTCTTCTCAGCTCCAAGACAGGACACGAAGGAGTAGATCAAGAATAAAGGAACAAGATGTACTGTCATGAAGCAGCAAGGGGCAAGGAGTGTGCACCTGCACGCACATCTCCCCCAACACAAAGGTGTTCTTTCCTCTAGCAATGGAAAAATGGAAATAGTGAAGTACTGGGAGTCCAAACCTTAGTCCAACTCCCATTGCTCACTTGCTGACTGGTATGAGGCACATCACTTCTCCTGTTTGGACTTCAGTTTCTTTTACACAATAAGAAGGTGGACTGGATGAATTTTGGGCCCCTTCTAGCTTGACACTCTAGGATTCCATGAATTTATTCTTCAGGGGCAAGCAGTGATTGGATAGCATTTTAGATTCAGAGCCAAATGGGCCCTGAGAAAGCCAGGATTCAAACTCAGATCTTCTGACTTGAAATCTAGCATTCTTTCCACTTTACTACTTCTCTGGCAACAGAAGACAAACTGATGGTTTGGAACTGTGTTCTCTCAGCAGATCTAGGCCTGGCAATGGTGCTCAGATGACAGAAATGTTTGGAAAACCCAGAACCTCTTCCCTAGGGCCTCCCCACATAACCTCCCCAAGGACTCAGGTAGATGTTTTATTCGGAGAAGGTCTAACAGGCTCCAGGCTTTCTGGGCTGGTCACATGTAACATATGAGTATGAATTTCACCTGAAGTTCTAGCCTCTTCCTGATTTAGGGGAACCCAGACCACTAGGGATGGGTCTTTTTGCTTTTGCTTTGGGCATCCCAATCTAATGACAGCAGCCCCTCAAACCCTTTTCCTCTGGATATAACTTTCACAGAAGTTCTTAGTCCCTCTGTCCACTGAAGAGCCACAGGGAAGAGAGGGGATTCCAAAAGGAAATCCAGGAACCTCAGACAATAGCATGTTCTTCCACAGTCTTAGCCATATGCTGCTCTTTAACCCTTGGGCAGACTTTAGTTGCTATGTTTATTTATTTTGGGGTTTACTGTAGAAGTGATGTCATTGTAATCACCCCACCAAGGCCACTTATTCATTCTACAAGTATTCACTGAGCATCTGCTGGATGCCTGGCATTATACTAGATACCCTGGGTGGGGGTGGGAAGGAAAGACTGAATCTCAAACTCATAAGTAAAATGGAATATAAAAGGCCAGCTCAAATAACTATGCTCCTAACAAGCTACCAGCTGTAGAATCAAGATTAATCGTCCATGTTCCAATTGGCTAGACTAGTCTAGGAACATTACAGAAACAAAGCTAATCTAATAATTTTGCAATTGTTTGGTTCTTTGTAAATTCTAACACCCTCATCTTATTCTAGAGTCCCTGAGGTTGTGTGTTACTAAATTGCCAAGATTTACCCCTACAAACGAAGCTTTGTTTTCCTTTTTCTAGTAGATACATAATCTAATTTGATTTCCTTAGTGAAAGATGTGCAGTTTCAGATAGCTACTCTGACTTTCTCTGGAAGTCCTTTAGACAGGTATATAGGTCTCAGACTTCTAGTGTGAATCAGGATATTTGGCTGGTAAGGGGGAATAAACCATACCAGTCAATAATCCTCTAAGTAATTACTTACTAAATATGTTTCCAATAGAACTGGTCCCCTCCAATACAATGTGAAATGACTACATTTGTTTTGACATATTGTGTTGTGTGGAGAGAGGTTACTGGAAATTACAGTAAAGTAAAAAAAGGAGCATCAATAAAAAACAGCACATACGATACAGCTATTGAGAGGCAATAAAAGGCAGGACAGGGTGAGTGACAAAATGAGCTTGGTGACAGGAAGTGCTAGAGGAGTTCAGAAGAGGAGAGCCCTGAGAGCTCCAGGAGTCAAGGAGAAGCCTTGAAGTAAGAGCTAAGTAGGCAGAGCAGAAGGATGAGGACCCTTCAAGCAGGGGCCAAGAGGCAGCATGACATGGGGATATGATACTGGACTTGCGGTCAGGAAATCCTTTTGTTCGAATGGCAACTGTGATGCTGAATATTAGCTGTTGGGACTCCTGGCAAAGCATGTCACTTTCCCAGGCCTTGGGTCCCTTTTCTATAAAATGAGGAATGAAGCTGTGGGACCTGCCTCAAAGGCTGGCCTGAATCTTCAATGAGATGATGGAAAGTCCTCTGCAAACACAAAGTGCTAGGTGGGTTATTTTTTAACAGCCTAAGTAAGGGAAATAATTCCTACTTCTCCAGTGTTCTAAGGATTACTGAGGACTTGCTTCCCTCACAGCAGCCATGGGAAGCAGTGCAAGGACCGTCATCCCCATTTTACAGATGAGACAACAGGGCACAGAAGTCAGTGACTGGCTTTGGGTCACGTAGCTGTCAAGCTGCAGAGCAGGGCTTCAGCTTGTGTTCTTTTTTTTTTTTTTTTTTTTTAAGGCAATTGGGGTTAAGTGACCTGCCCAGGGTCACACAGCTAGTAAGTGTCAAGTGTTTGGTCTGAGGCTGGATTTGAACTCAGGTCCCCCTGACTTCAGGGCCGGTGCTCTATCCACTACGCCACCTAGCTGCCCCTCAGTTTGTGTTCTTGACTCCAAGACTAGTCATCTCCCGGAATTTCTCCTCTTCTCTTTCTTCTCTTGTCTCTCCTCTCTCTTCTCTTCTTCCTTCCCCTCGCCTCTCCTCTCCTCTCCTCTCCTCTCTTTTTCCTTCCCCTCTCCTCTCCTCTACACTGTGTATTCCAAAGACAGGAAAGAGACTGAGGTAGAGGTGGGCAAGAAGGCTGGAGGGTAGACCGAGGGATATGGAAGGGACTGCAAGCAAGTTGACAACTCTTAAGTTTTATCCTGCAGACAATGGGGAGCTACTGAAGGTTTCTGAAGAGAGGAGTGGTGGTGAAATTGGTACTCCAGGAAGATTTGTCTAGCTCTCTTTGGCCCTTGAAACCTTTATTAGGATGTCTCTAATGTATCTTTCCAGACTTTTCCACATTACTCTCCTTAACACACACTTCATTCCAAACAAAGCAGCGTATTGGTTGGGGCACCTCACCTCTGCCTTACAGAACTGCTCCATCTCAAAGTCTGCTTCAGTGCCATCTCCTAGAGGGGCCTCCTTTAAGTCCCCCCTATACCAAAGTCACTCTGTATGTAGAATGTAAGGTCCTTGAGGGAATGACATTTTCAATTTTGTCTCTGTCCCTCCAGTAGGTAGCATATCGTGCTTGGCACACAGAAGATGCCTAATAAATGCTGGTTAAATTGAACTGAATAGTAACAGTGCCTATAATAGACTAGATCTGGGAAAGACAAGTCAAGGAACCCACACCCAGGAGGCTGCTTGAAGTCCTCAGGCAAGGGAAATGGAGCAGGAAGTCGGTGTTAGCGGGCAGACAAGACCTGATATTTACTTGGATATTGGTGATGAAAGGTAACTTGTCAGATCTCTTCCTCTCAGCAGACAGGAAAGAAAGAATAGGAGCAAGACATTACTTACAACATTGGGCATAGTCACTGGAGCAGCTGATTCTGTTTAAATGTTTGTTTGTTTTATACCAGGGAAGGTTTAGTTCTTGGAAAGGTGACTAGAGATCCAGAAGTGACTGAGTAAAAGCCAAAGTTATCAACAAAACTTAAAGAACAAAGAAAATCCTTGAAGGAGGGTAATGTAGCCATTTCTCAAGCATTAAACTCCTGTGGGTGGATGAGCAGTTTTGGTGGGGGTGGGGGGGCTGTCTAGGAGGATTTAGATTCCCCAACCCAGCAGTGATCAACACCTCCCAGAAGCCCTTACTTGAAACTCACCTTGTTGGAAGCATCAATGAATTTAACCCCTTTGTAGGTGATGGAAAGAATTATGGTTGGGATCTTCTTCATCTGCTCAGTTGATTTCTGTAGGAAACAGGTAAATAAATCTCTGTGATTCCCCTCTTTGGGGATATGCCCAGAATGCCACAGGCTTCTGATTTTTCCTCAGTCTCCAATAGCCAGCACTGACAGGGCCCCAGAGCAGGCAGAGCAGCTGCCCCCATACTCTGATGGCCGAGGCCTCAGAGCTGTCTCTAATGCTTCTGTTGAGGGCAGCTGGGGCAGTGGTGCAAGCTGCTTCTCCTGTGACCATTTGTTCCTGGCTAGGCCAGGCCTGCCCTTTCGGCCACACCTACAACAAACATACTCTTCCTGCTACTTTTTGTCCAGGCAAAAAACTACCAACCTACCCGCATTTTGGCACAGGCATCCTGTGTAGACTCTGTCCCACGAAGATCTTTAATCAGCATAGAGCCCAAATACTGTGAAGAAGATGATGATGACAGGGACAGAGATTAGTCTGGGACCTAGAGAGGGGGTGCAAACTCAGACCCATCTTTCCCAGGTTGAAGATTCCTTTGTAGGGCCTAGAGGTCCTGGCCTTCATTTTCCATGTGTCACTTGTCCAACCTAGGGCTACCTCACAAACAACTCGGGCTAGACCTGAACTCCAGAAGTCATTATCTGGGGGTACTCAGCCATATTTATGTGGTTATCTCCCCTCCCCATCCTATTTCTTCCCAGTGAAAAGCCCCTTCACTCAGCCCTCCTATTCATCCTGCCATAAACATCTCTGACCTTTCAGGCAACTAATTTAGTCTGGCTGAGATTGACACGGGTCAGCAACCTGGTCACAGACAAGGGAGTTAGGGCTTTCACAAGACCTAGAGCAGACTCTGCCAGTGTTTTCCTTGCTCTCTATAGGCAGCACTCTGACCACATTCTCTTCTGCTCCCTCACAGTTTATCTCTGATCATACTCTCCCTTTCATCTTCCACAGGTAGCTCTTACCTATCATTCTCCCTATTCTGCCCTCTGCAAAGGGAGCCATGGGGGGCAGTGGTGTCTGGCCTGCATGGGATAGGGACCATAGAAGAGAAGAGGCCAGATCCACAACCTGCCACTTCTCCAAACAGGCACTCTTATGGTTGCCCCCAGGTATGTGTCTGAAGGAAGGCAGGGAACACCACTCACATTGGCTTCATAACCACAAGATTCGAAGATGAGCTTCTCTGGTTGGTGCTGCCAGCTCTGCACAGGGGCATAAGGAGCAGCCAGGCTCGGGGGCCGAAGGGTCAGTTTGGCCTCCCGGGGATCCTCCTGCCAAGACAGTTACTCAGTTGGAGGGAGGTTTCTCCCTGCTCCTACTCAAGGTCCAGTAATACCCATCAAACCTGTTCACTGTGAACTCTTCCCGAAGTCCTCCCCTCCTCTCCACTTAACACTGAACACATCTTCAATCTCAGAGGAAATGGTTATAATAAGGAGGGCTTCTTGAAATAGAAAGTAATGCCCCAGTCCACACTTCCCATCCCAACAGTGCCATGCAGACCTCTGCCACTAAGGCAACTGTTTTTTAAGGAAGTTTGAACAGGTTGAGGGGTTGGGTCTGAGAGAGTGACACAGACACGTCACTGTGCTGCTCTGAGAATCCCCCACATGCTCTTCCTGATACATTTTGTCCAAGCAAAAAGCAGGACCTGAGTTGGGGAGAGGAAGGAAAAAGGTTCACAGAGACCCCAGACCCTGACCTGTGTCTTAAAGCGCTCAGCTCGGCCGTGGGCAGCTGTGTCGTGACAGCTGTCATGTCGCCTTTTGCCTGTGTCCCCCAAGGGCAGCAGTAGGTCTGATGACCTCCCGGTGCAAGAATCATTTTGGCTCAGGGGAGAGGATGTTTGGGAAAGCAGATCTTGGCACTGTAAGGGGAAAGGAAGAGAAGGTTTTTGGCCTGTCTCAGTGAGAAACATGGATGCAAAGTACTGGGCAGGGAGAATTAGGCAATACAGTGAAAGCTAGGTCTGAACTAGGGACTTGCTGGAAAGCTAATGTTTCTGGCTTACAGACTGTGGAGTGCAGGAGTAGTGAGGGCTAGGCAAGCTTTGGCGTCTTCACAGAATAGCCATGTGCTCCTCAAGGAAACAGAAGAGGGGCCCTATTGAGCAGGTTAAGATCCTTGCAGGCTGCAAAGATTTAACTGCGTCCATCTGCTTTAGACAACCAGCATCCGAGGCTTATTGAGAGCAGGCCTTCAGAGCATAAACAGCACTGGGGTGCTTGCCTCAGTCACTCTGAAGTCCAAACTGAGAGCCTCTTTGGGTTCTCCACTGGCCTTCCCTCCCTGAGACCAACCCCAGGCATGTGAATCCTAAGGAATCTTTAGCCTTGCAAACCCAGCATCTGTTTGTAGTTCACTATCTAGATTCCAGACAGGCGTGGTAGAGAAGAGATGGCAGAAGGATGAGCATTCCAACATACCCTCTCCCCCTACTCACGTCACCAGTGTCTGCTTACTCCTGGTTCTGTGGTCTATCTTCTCTGCTCAGGCTCTTAGAGCCAGCTTGGAAATATACAAACCCATCCTTCTTTTCTCCCTCTTCCAGCTTTCCTATCAAAACCAAACTTGCTACCTAATCCCATAGATTAGAAACTTTTCCCTATTAATGCTTCTTCCCTCCATTCCTGAAGCACTAAGCACACACACATGTGGAGACCCAGAGACAGGAAGATGACCTACCCAGCCACACTCATCTTCCCCCAGGGTAACAGGAGAGGGAAATATCTCCACTTAGGGCCTCTCAACTGAGGTACTTGTGGCAGGGAAAGCAATTAGAGGCAACTGAAGAGCAGATTCCTCCTAGGCCTTTGTCCTTAAGCTATCGGAAATGACAAAATAACAACCTGGGTCACAAGAGGCACAGAACTGTCAGCTCAAAGCAGGTTGGGGGTGGGGGGTGGGGGTGGGGAGAGGTTGGACATTCAAAGCCCTTGCTAGAAACCTCACACCACAGTGATCTAGCCCAAACCTGAGAAACTCTCCAGCTTGTGGCTCCAGGGCCACAGACTTCTGACCACTCTAACCTGCTGAGATCTGAAATTTAAGCCAGAAGCCAATGGCAAAGATGTCCCTAGCAGGGGATGCCTTAGCAGTGCTTTCCTTTCCTCTCTCCTCCATAAATATGAGAATAATTTTGATACTCCTAATCAATTTAATTAATGTTTACTCAGTTCACGTGATTTAATGGGTGTCAGTGATTGTTTTGGTAAGCTAAGGAAAACAGAATAAAAGTTTGATTTGGTTAGTTAAAATAGGAGTTACGTAAGTTAGGATTAATTAACTCTCTATGCATTGACGATTAGATTGCTTTTCATTGACTTATACTGTATTAGGCCTGTTATAAAGATTCAGATTAACTTGTATGTTAATCTTGCCCTACCCCACTCCCCCACTCCTATGAATGTACTATGAGAGCTGTATTTCCAAAAAAACCACTTTCCCCATTTTCTCTGTTCTTTCACGCCTAATATCTGTAACTGCCTGTGGAAAGTCCTAGATCTCTGGTGACTAAACACTGCTGGCTGATGGCCGTACCCAATTGTGGGGTCTGTTCTTCCCCCACCCTTGTCCCCCCTGGAAATGACCTGTCATGGATTGCACTGTCTCGTTCTGTTTTTAGTAATCTTTCAATGTCTATAAAAGCCTGAAGAATACAAGCAGACGGGGTCCTTGACTGCAAAGGAAAGTCTTGGATCAACTGATTAGGGACCACCAGTCGCCCTCATAAACTGATATGTGCTCGGAGTTCTGCCTCAGTGGCTTTTTGTTGCATATTGGAATTCTGTAGCCTACCCTAACCCAGGCAGCCCAGATGAGGAGAGAGTTTACATCTTCGCCCATTCACTTTCCTGAGCCAGGCCTTGGCTCAGGACTTGGAAGACACAAAGTCAAGGACAGTGGATAGAAAGAACAGCTGACCAAGCCCTGCTCCTCATGCCCTAATGGCAGGCCCAAGTCCTCCCCTTCCTCAGCTGAGACAGGAGTCTTCTTTGTAACAGAGCCTGGGCTCTCTATGAAGACAATCTCTTTACTGCCTAAAAGTGAACAGACAAACACATGTGCCTCTTCCCTTCTGTCCCACACCCTTCCATAGAGTTCCCACCCACTGACACTAAGAGATCCCAGCAGCTCAACTCACTCGCAGCTGGGAAAAGCGAGGGGGCTTCTGAGGGGGCTCCTCATAGGGCCGATCTGCAAGAGAGGCGATGATCCGCTTCCGGTGGCCGAGCAGGTGAACCTTTAGCACCTGACAGGTGGGGCAGGAAATGGGTTAGGAACAAGAAATGGGTTTGCTCGACATACCTGAGCTCCTCATGCCACTTGTTCCTCCACAACCAGCCAGATTTTAAGTTGCAACAGTGGGTCATGCGTCAGCGCCACAGAACACTTGGCTTGGAGTCAGGGGGCTTGAGTTTAAATCCTAGCCTGGCAATCACTTCATCACCCCGGGCTTGTTTCCTTATTGGTAAAATGAGGGAGTTTCTAAGGTCCCTTTTAGCTCTAAATTGTGCAATCCTGAGAATGCACCTTGTGGACAGCAGAGCCTCCTCCTCTCCCCTCACTTCACCTCACCAGCCCCCTGTGAGCTCCTGGACACAGCCCCACTTTCAGCAGAGCCTGTTTTGGGCCGCAGGCCCAGTTCCTTGCATCTGGTCCCCTCAGCTGTTTCTGAAGACCCTGAGCCTCCTCCTAGAGGAATGTGTCTTTCATTGAATCCAGTGTCTTCTCAGATCTGGCATCCCAATCTCATGGGACCTGGCCTAGTCATTCTGGTCAGAAAACCCAAGTGGTAGCAGCTGAAATCCCAGGAGTCCTGAGAATGAAGTCATAACACTGAACTGTCTTAGGGGCTCTCAGCAGGTGTCCTGGCCATACTCTCCCACCATCTCTAGTCTCTGAGACTGGGGTTTGGCTATTTCACTTTAGGCTGTCCTTCCAAAGAAGCTTAGCTCAAGCCACCCCAAAACACAGTACAGCAATGGTTCAGCTCAGGCAATGAATGATGATTATGTCTTACTGAAACATCTGGAAGACTCAGCTTGACCTGAGGGGTACCAGAGGAGAATGATTTTCCATGTTCCTCCTACCAATAGTAACCCCTTTTTCCCCGAAGAGGTTCCAGTGTGTGGACTGGCCCACTGGGAGGAAGGCTTAGTCAGTCTGTTATACTCACATTAACCAGCTCCAGTTCCCAGAGGTTTTTCACAGTGTCAATAGAACTGTAGCCACTTGACAGAAAAGACTGGATATAATCCTGCAGCCCCAGAGAGTCAAGCCAGGATGGGACAGATGGCTGGGCATTCCCATCACAGCCCAGAGGTTTTACCTGTAAATGGGAAAGGGAAGTAATGGATGACAGGTGGCACAAGACAAATGACCCAGAGTAGTTCACATTGATCACACCAAAATGCAGCCAGCTGACACAGTGATGGCTCACTCCAGCGAGTTAGACAAACCATCTCAGGTCATGTTGCTCTAGAGTCACCCGGGCTGGGGGAAGAGAGGCTCTCTCAGAGGGCAGAGTAATTCAGAGGTGATTCTAGAATACTGAGAACCAGCCCCAGTTGTTCTCACCATGGCCAGGGATCTGATAAAAAATACAATCGTTCCTGTGATACTGAAAATAATTCTGCTTGCAGTTGTGCTGACACAGGAAGATGGGGTGGGGGGAAGAAGAAGGGGACATTCAGCTTAATACTTCTAGCTAACATTTCCCAGACTTTCAAATCCGTTCAGCTTATATGTGGGTCATGGACCCACTGGGCAGTCTGGTATAGCCCAAGGATCCCTTTTCAAAATGATCTGAAATGCATAAAATGGTTAGGATTATAAAAAGAATCAATGATGTTGAAATAAAAATGTATTTTTTTCCATACAAGTTCACAGACCTCCTGAAATCTATCCACAAGACCTGGAGGGTCCACAGACCCCAGGTTAAGAAGCCTTGCTCTAACTGCATGCAGGTTCTTTGGGTATAGAGGAAGAAAGATAGTATAAGTAGGAATAGTTAGCTTTCTACTTCACTTTAGTTTCAAGAAACCAAAGGTCTTTTCAAATACAGTAATGCTTGTGATGAAACATATTACCCACCTTCAGATAGAGAGGTGATGGATTTTAACATGGTCAATGTGGGAATTTATTTTGCTTTACTATACATGTTTGTAATAGGCTTTGTTTTTCCTGCTTTCTCATTGAGGTGGGGTGTTAGAGGGAAGGAGAGAATGCAGATCTTAAAATAAAATAGGATTTTTTTAAAAAAGGAAAAAATTTTGAAGTTAAACAAATGGAGCCATGTAGGTTGTAGTCCAAAGAGGCAAAGGTGGTTGGCCCTTGGCCCCACCCGGGGGGTAAGAAGGCTGGAAGGGCTTTTGTTGGTCCTTGAGTTAGACTCATGGCCCTCTTACTTAGGGGAGCAGCTGTCTTCCCATGCTCAGATCCCCCAGCACTTCTTGTGCTGATGTCCAGCTTGTCAATGTGGATTTGTCAGAAGCATAGGAATGCATGGTCTGGCAATCCCACAGCTACCAGCCCTATGGTGTCGTAGATAGAAGCTGGATTCAGAGTCAGGAAGACCTAGGTTCAAATCCTGCCTTGGATACTTGCTGTGTGACCCTGACAAGTACCTTAACATGTGTGGGTTTTAGTTTCCTCATAGATAAAATGAGGGGCTGAACCTGATAGCCTCCAAGGTTCTTTCTAGCTCTCAGTCCAATCTTTATTTCCTTTTGGATGGCTGAGACCTGGGGCTCCTCTCCAATGGTCATATGTAAACACCACTTGTACTCCTCAATCAGGAGAGCCCTGCAAGTGGGCCCTAAGAGGTGAAAGTCAGTTCTGAGTGGGATCACAGATTTCTGAGATGAGCAGACCTCTTCCAACACTAGTAGGACCTCTCTCTCCCATGGGCTCTTCTGGGCCTAGGCAACTTCCCTGCATCTCAGATTGCCTGGAGGGACATTATGACCCCTAATGAACCCTTAAGACATGGCTAGGAACTCAAAAAGACCTTATGAAACTCCTCTGGTCCAGTTGGAGAGGCTTTACTGCATCAAAAAGGACAAGATATGTCTAGGACTATGCCCTGAAGCAAAAGGTCCATTCAGGACGTGGTCCTAGATACATCCGTGAGAAAGAAATGGGGGTGAAGAGAAGATTCAGGGAAGACAACCGTCTTCAAGACTTATTTGAAGATCTGGACATCCAACCCCATAGGCTCTGGCCAGATCATCAGTCATTTATTAAGTGCCTACTATGTGCCAGGCACCATGTTATGCTTTAGAGTTATAAAAAAAAGACAAAGACACAGTCCCTGCTGTCAAGGAACTTACATTCTAATGAGGGAGCAAACATGCAAGCAACTACAACTATGTACATACAAGATAGACACACACACTATTTAGTTGTTATTACTATCCCCATTTTACAGATGGGGAAACAGAGGCAAACAGGGGTTAAGTGACTCACCCAGGGTCACACAGCTGGTAAGTGTCTGAGGCTGGATTTGAACTTGGGCCCAGTTCTTGATTCACTCTGCCACCAGCTGTCATTACATCTATATATGATCAATCCCTAGTAACCTTCCAGAGGAGCCTAATCTGAGAAGTGGGCTTTACCATGAAGCCATGTCCTAATGAGACCAAGAGGTTCTTTGCAATGTGGTGTGTGTATGTGTGTCTATATATGTGTATCTGGGAGTGACAGACAGACAGACAGATAGATAGAATAAATGGAAGGTAATCTTAGAGCAGAGGTTCCCAAAGTGGGTGATACCACCCCCTGTGGGGTGCTAGAATGATCCAGGGGGCATTTGTAGCCTTGGGTGCAATTGGGGGGAGGAGGCATTGAATAAATATAAGGGGGCAGTGGAAGCAAAGGAAAGAAGAGAAGACAAGGAAATTTTGAATAACCATTCATACATGTTTCATCTGTTGTGTAACAGAATTAAAGTCATAGTGATTACGTTATTTTCCAAATAAACACACAAAACATAAGTTATAAAGTCCGCCAACAGGTCTTAATAAGCAAGTGTTGGCAGATGAGGGTGTCACACATTGTTGGGAAGTCCAGCATGCATTGGCAGGAATATGTGCATGTAATGACTTGTTTACAATATGATACCATACAGTTAAAAGAAGCAAACATTGCATCATCAAAATTTCAGTACAAGAAATTCCCCCACAAATTTATAATAAATTATTAAATTTAAGATGTGTCATTTAAAGAAAATTTATATTTTTTTGAAATGATACAAATTTTTTTAAAAAACCATTTAAGCGTTAAAGAAAGTAAATTTCCAGGGGGCACTGAGTAATTTTTTTTTTAAAGGGGGCAGTAGGCCAAATAAGTTTGGGAACCTCTGTCTTAGAGCAAAGGCATTTGTTGGGGGTGGAGATTGAGAAGGGATTATGAAGGCCTTCTGCAGAAGGTGGGATTTAAACTAACTCTTGAAGGAAACTAAGATGTGGAGGTGAAGAGGGAGAGCACTTCAGGCACAGACAGTGAAAAGGCATAAAGATGGGCAATGTGCAAGGAACATCAAGGAAGCCAGTATGGCTGGATTACAGAGTACATTACAGGTAGCTGGTGGCATAGTGGATCAAGAACTGGGCGTGCAGTCAGGAATACCCAGTTCAAATCTGGCCTCAGACACTTAACTAGCTGTGTGACCCTGGGTGAGTCACTTAACCACTGTTTGCCTCAGTTTCCCCATGTGTAAAATGTGGATATTAATAATAAATAAATAGCCACTATTTCCCAGGGGTATTGTGAGGACTAAATGAGATAATATTTGTAAAATGCTTAGCATAGAGCCTGGCACATAGTAGGTGCTATACAAATGGTAAATATCATCATCATCTAAAAATATTGCAAGATTTAACATTTGATCCTGAAGACAATAGGGAGCCACTGGAATTTATTGAATAGAGGAGTACTATGGTCAGACCTGTACTTCAGGAACATCACTTTGGTAGCAGAGTGGAGGATGTATCAGAGTAGGGATAGACTTCAGCCAAAGAGATCAATTCAGAAGGCGACTGTAACAGTCCATGCATGAGACGATGAGGGCCTGCACCAGGGTGGCAGTTGAGTGAGGGAAGAACAGAGGGCATATAGAAGAGATATTGAGAAGGTACAAATTACAAGATTTGACAACAGACTGGATACGTGGAGTGAGTACAGATGAGGAATCAAGGATGACTCCAAAGTTGTAAGCTTGGATGACTAGAAGGATGGCAGTGCTCTAGACAACAGAGGGAAGTTGGGAAGTGGGGAAAGTTTGGGGGTTGGGGTGGGGAGGGGAGAAGATGATTTTCTTTGGACTTGATGGATTTGAAACTGGCTATCTATGGAGCTATCCAGTTTGAGATGTCCAATAGGCAGATGGTGAAGTGAGTCTGGAGATCAGGAGAGAGTTGTCAAAGCTGAATAAACGGAAGTGACAATGATCTGAATAGAGATAATAATTGAATCCATGGAAGCTGATACAATTATGAATCAAGATAGCATAAAGGGAGAGGAGGGCCAAGGAGGATAACTAGAGTCAGAGTCAGGGTGCAAAAGGGGGGAAGGGGGGCATGGGGTGGAGAAAATTGTGGCTCCACAAAAGAAAGAATTAAGCTGTCCAAAAGTCTGATGGGCTATTGTGAGAGGTAATGAGCTCCCTCCTCACAGGAGGTGTTCAAGGCCTGGCTGACTGCTCATCAGGGCTATTATAAAGGGTATTCCTGTTTCAGTAAGAGCTGATTCAGTGACTCCTTGTGACCATCCTTTTCCCTTGCTTTTGGCTCAAACTGAAGCAGGAAGGACCCTGGAGAGTTTTTACCTTAGGCAATGATCTTGCAGCCTGGAGAAGCTTCCGCCGATGCTGGGGTTCACTGATCCCAATGTCTCGGAGGTCCTGGTCTTCCATTACGTTACTCCCCTGAAAGCAGAGAATAAGAGAGTTTTAATAGAAATGGTGGCTTCCCTGACAATTAAAGGCCTACTAAAGAGACTGCTCTAAATTTCTTCCCTTACTGAAAGGAATACTAGAGGTTATCTCCTAGATTTCCTCACATAACTAGCCCAGTACGGTTCAATCCAAGGTAATTTGGAGCCAGGAAGACCTGAGTTTGAATCCTGATGCAGATATTTACCAGTTGTGACCCTTAGCAAGTTACTTAATCTCATTCAGCCTCCATTTCTTCACCTGTAAAATGGGGATAATAATATCTACTTCCCAGGGTTGTTGTGAGGATCAAATGAGATAATATATGTAAAGTTCTGCATACTTTAAAGTGCTATGTAAATGCTAGCTCTTGTTATTCAATAACATTATTATTATATATGACATGTAACATAATAATCTATAGCACCATCATCATTATTGTTGTTATACCAGTATAAGGTCCCTAGCAGCAGGGGCTGCTAAAGGTATTCTGAGTTCTTTGAAGGATTTGGCCCACAGGAAAATCCATTTTCATTTGAGGGAAAACTTTCTCTGGGGCAGAGAAAAGAAGCCAGATTCCAGGTCATGGAGGAACACTGAAGAATGACCCAGTCAGATGAGCATTCTCAGACCAACACTACCTCATGCACAGAGAAGGCTTAACACATGTCAGCTGAATTGAACTCAATTAGTCTTGTTAACAGATAGCAACAGTGAACAATTTGGGGGACGTGGAATTTATTGTATTTTGGTGGTACTATGACTTAGGCCAGACCTCTTCCTTTTGACCCATGTGATACCACTGCTGAAACAATGACCTTTAGGAAAATCTGACCTGCCAAAATAGAGAGTAAAGAGATTCCTCTATTTCCCTGCCTTAAATGTTGCCCTCCAGAGCTCAGATGCTCATGGACAGTGGGCAGCATGACTGGCGTCACAAGTCCCTAGTTCTAGCCCCAGCTTCACCACTTACTTGCTGTGTCAATGCCCCTTTCTTTTTTTTTCCCTTAATTTATTTTAGTTTTCAACATTCACTTTCATAAGCTTTTGAGTTTTAGATTTTCTCCCCCTCCCTCCCCAAAATGGCATGTAATCTGATATAGGCTATACATATATATTCCTATTAAACATATTTTCACATTAGTCATGCTGTAAGGAAGAATTAGAACCAATAGGAGGAACCACAAGAAAGAGAAAATAAAACAGAAGAAAAAGAATAGCAAATAGTATGCTTTGATCTGCATTCAAACTCCATAGTTCTTTCTTTGCATGTGGATATCATTTTCTATCATGAGACTTTTGGAAGTGTCTTACATCCTTGCTTTGCTGAGAAGGGCTAAGTCCATCAAAGTTAGTCATCGAACAATGTGGCTGTTACTGTGTACAATGTTCTCCTGGTTCTGCTCACTTCACTCAGCATCAGTCCATACAAGTCTTTCCAGGTTTTTCTGAAGTCCACTTGCTCATCATTTCTTATAGCACAATAGTATTCCATTACATTCATATACCACAACTTGTTCAGCCATTCCCCAATTGATGGGCATCCCCTCAATTTCCAATTTTTTGCCACCACAGAAAGAGCTGCTATAAATATGTTTTGTATGGGTGGGTTCTTTTCCCTTTTTTATGATCTCTTTGGGATACAACCCTAGAAGTGCTATTGCTGGGTCAAAGGGTATGCACATTTTGATAGCCCTTTGGGCATAGTTCCAAATTGTTCTCCAGAATGGTTGGATCAATTCACAATTCACAACAATGTGTCAATGCCCCTTTCACAGCCTCAGCTTCCTCACCTGCTGAATACAGGAGTTGGGCTAGATAATCTCTAAAACCTGACATCCTGTAATTCTAGGGAAGTTAAGTTACTGGCAGCCTTGGGTAGAAAGAACATGAGTCAATTTAGTTTGTATGGACTAAACAGCACAGTCCCATGAAATTTTAAAATATAATTTATTTTTAAAAGTTTTAGGGATACTTATAGGGATAACACCAGTTATTTCCTGATAGACTACTTCTTCCCTTCTGGCTCTGCTGTCCACCTCTGCCTCCCCCGCCCCCAATAATCCTCCCATGTAACAAAAGAAAACTTGATTGACAATGCAACTGTCTCAAAGCTTATGCAACATCCTGCACCTGTAGTCACCTACCTTTCTACAAAGATGAAGGAAATGTCTTTCATCATTCGTTCTTCAAGACAGTAAACAGTCACAGCAATTCATCAGAATTCAGTTGTCTTGTGGTATTTTTGTTTACACTATTGCAGTCCTTGTGTATATTTTCTTGGTCCTACTCTTTTCACTCTTCAATTCATATGTGTTACTGTACCATAAGAAATAATATGAGGGACATGTTCTCAGAAGCTTTGTTTCTAAGAATTTCCTCATTTTCTTTCTTATGATGCAGTAAATTCCATTGTATTCAGATACCATAATTTGACCAAACATTTCCCTAAGTGATGGGCATCCACATATCTTCTGTTTTTTGTTACCTCAAAATACTTTGGTTTATATGAGACCTTCCCTTCTCTATGACCTCCTTGGCAGTATATGCCCAGAACTGGGATAGCTAAGTCAAAGGGTATAGATGATTTAGTCACTTTTCTTACCTTCATGAAAAAATTTGAAAGTTGGCTTAAAAAAACAAACAAAACACCCAAGAGACTGCCATGTTTCCTTAGAGAGGGAGGGTGAGGATGGTGGTTCTGTGATTTCTGAGAAAGACTAGAGCTAATTCTCTCCTTTGTCCCTGTTTTTCCATTTCCTTGTCCCCAGCAATTATGTTGGTATATAAACTCCTAAAGCTATCTCAATCTAGTAACATTAGGGGAGATAGCAGCAATCCATTGGAGATCATATAATGAGGCTTCTGGATATCTCATTCTGTCCATGCCACTAGGCAGTGGAAGTTGGAAGCCTCAGTGACTCTGGGAACATCCACCCCTATGGAACAGGTAACACCAAGAATTTTTAGAACACCCCCCCTTCCCTTAGCAGGTTTCAGAAAATCACTTCAGTAAACAACAGTTCTGGGGGACCAACTGTTTGGAGAGTACTAGGGACCAATTTTGATTACATAAAATGTAAAAGACTTTGCACAAACAAAATCAATGCAGTTAAAATCAGAAAGGAACGAGTTAGCTCAAGTGGGGGGGGGGAATCTTTTCAGCAAATTTCTCTGATAAAGGTCTTATATATAAGATATATAGTGAACTGATTCAAATACATAAGAATGGTAGCCATTCCCCAATAAATCAATGGTCAAAGGATATGAACAGGTAGCTATCAAAGAAACTGAAGCAACCTACAACCATATGAAAAAAAAAATGCCCCAAATCACCAATAACATGAGAAATGCAAACTAAACTGTAAGGTTCTACTTCACATTTCCCAGAAGAGGTTGTGGGAAACAGCAACATAGTAATACACTGCCGGTGAAGGTATGAAGTGACCCAATCACTCTGGAAAGCAATTTGAAACTATCTTTACCCCCACCCTACCACTCCCCAGTCTCTGTCAATAATGCCACAACTAGGTCCATAACCCAAAGAGATCAAAGAAAGAGGAAGAAGACCCATTGTACAGAACAACTACGATCTCTTCTTGTTACAGAACTGGAAGGTGGGGCACTGACCCTCCCCACCCCATCCCCACCTAACCATCCTTCAAGATTCAGCTCAAGCCTCAGTGAATAGGCCCATGATGTTGCCTCTAACTATTCCCAGCATTCACTCATCTCCCCCTTTTCTAAACTCCTAGTGCAATCACTGTCACAGCATCGTATACATTTTGTGCCTTTTCTCTTTAACTACTGGAGAAGCTCCTTGAAGAGAGCACAGATTCTCAGTGACCGTTTCACTGAATGCCTGGCAGAGAGAATTTTCATATGTACTATGACAAGCACTAATGCCCTTGGGGAGAGCCTGCTGGGCTAGAAAGCCTGATGGGTACTATCTTCCACATAGATTAAAATGAGTCCTCCCTTTCTCTTCCCAAGAATGTTCCTATGTGGGTGAGGTCTTCAGTGAAATATGAAATTGGCTACATCTGTTCATAGAGACATTGTCATCTTCAAGCTATTATTTCATCCAAATGAGGCTATTTGAAAGCTTTGTGAAGTTCCAGAAGCCAAACAGCTTCCTGCTAATCAGATCCTTCATTCTGCCAATTTGCTGGTGATAAGAGCCCAGCCTGGCCCATTTCATCTAGAAGTCCTAAAAAGACCTCCAGTGGGGCAGATAGTTATCTCAGTGGATAGAGCTCCAGCCTTGGAGTCAGGAGGACCTGAATTCAAATCTGACCTCAGACACTTTACATTTACTAGCTGTGTGGCCCTGGGCAATTCACTAAACCCCAACTGCCTCACCAAAAAAGCAAATTAAATAAATTCTAAAAAAAATAAAAAGACCTCCAGAAAAAAAGCCCCTCTTCCCTCTTATTTAGCTTTCTTCTCCATCAGGAAACACCCCCTTAATACGGAAAAAAACACCTTCAAGAAAAGCCAGAAGGTTGAGGGTTCCCAATCTAATCTGTCAATCAAACTTTATTGCCTCATAGGGTCTTAGTATTTAGAACTGGAGGGGAATCTAACGTTACCATTTTACAGATGAGGTAACTGAGGCCCATAAGAGGCTGACTGACCAAAGTCACACAACTAGAAAGTGGAAGAGGTGGGGTCCAGGGTCATATCATGACTTCATTATGATGCTTCCTTTACTGCCTCCTGATGACTGAGAAACTGATCCTTAGGAAATTTCTTTCCATGTTCAAGGTAGCTAATTAAATTATGTGTGCAGGGACTGACCTCCTAGCCAAGACCAGGACGTTTTCCATAAATGTCCAGTGATGCTCCCCTATGGCACTATGGCAATAGTAATTTTGGGGATTATTTTCAGGATTCCACTTCCCCCATCCCCACTGATGTGGCACCCAGATTGCATCCCAGGGAGCATAAAGGGTTCCAGGTAGAACTGGTGCCTAATGGGATCCCATTTCCCC